AGTCTACCCAAATAATCTCCTATTAATTCCCTTTTCTGCCGATAGAGTGTGTACCATGCCCAAAATGGTAAAAAAATAAAACCTTCCATCCCCAGCCCCCTCGAAGGATGGGAAAGGTGAGCCTGATCCTGGAAGAGTATCTTACCTTCCCCTTCTGGGGATGACTCCCCTTGGAGACTCCCCTTCCCACACACACTGTATCTACCCAGTAGCTCAGTTCTAGGCACACAGAGGCTTCATACCACTGGGGAGCAACTATTATTGGCTGTAAGGCAGCAATGTGCACTGGATTTTTACTCAGCTATCCAGTTATGCCCTCTCCATACTCAGTGCCACAGAATTGGGAGGACCCTGGGGCTACCTTTTGCCTACAATAGAGAGTAGAATAAGAGAGTGGCATCCCAATGAGTAGGCAGTTTCTCTCTGCCTGTCAGGAATGCCTTGCCTGATGTGTGTTTCTGCCATATTGCTCCTAGGCCCAAGTCTCTTTCTTCTCTGTGAGAAGAAAAATAGACACAGATGGACCAACGTGATTCCTCCCCCGCTTCCTGGAACCCCTGACTCACACTCCCAGATATGTCTTCGTCTCCTCTTTATCAGATGTAGATTCTCGTCATTGGTGAATCTTTCATCAAACATCCATTTTGCCCCTAAGGAAGAGTGTATACATGTAAAAAATAAGATTGAACGTTCTCTTTTGGCAAAAGAGAGAGATCTTATCTGTCTTCCCTTTTCCTAGGACATTTCCTTGAGAAACACTTGTATTTATTAATCCTTCCTCTTCACTTTGCTATGTAGATAAATCTTTTGTTTTTGCAGACAGGGTCTCACTGTCTCACCCAGGCTGGAGTGCAGTGGGCATGATCCGGGCAGCCTCACTGCAGCCTCAACCCCTCAAGCTCAAGCAGTCCTCTCGCCTCAGCCCCCAAGGAGCTGGGACTACAGGTGCATGCCACCACACCCCACTAACTTTTTTATACTTTTTTCATCTCGAATTCCTGGGCTTAAACAGTCCTCCAACGTCAGCCTGCCAAAGTGCTGGTAAGACAGCCAGGTGGGAAGGGTTCCCTGGCAGAATCTCCTACTGACCTGTGCACTGGGAGGAATGCACACTGGGGTGAACCTTGGGAAATTTGTGCCATTCGCAGTGGGGAGGAACCTGGCCCCTCCTTTTCCTGGTGGAACCTGGAATTCAGTCTCCCAGGCAGGAAGCACTCTGGCTTTGGGGAGAGTCTCTGTTTCCCTTTTTTTCTTTTTGCCCAATAAATTCCATTCTCACCCTTCAAGGCATCTGCAAGCCTAGTATTTCATGGCCGTGTTGCAAGGACCCAGCTCTTAGCTGAACTAAGGAGAAAGTCCTACAACAGCTTTGGCACCCAATGTGGGACTTGAGAAGTGGTGAGTGACATGGGGACTCAAAACTTCTCTGTCATTTCTAAGCCTTTTCATGCATGGACTTCTGAGGGTAGGGAAACCATGCCCCCACCCCCAACGCTCCCCGGGGTCAGGGGCCTTTCCGTGGCCTTTGCCTTCATTTTTTGGGAAGGACAGGCAAGCCGTGGCTCCAAGCTCCTTCTCTCCTCCCAGCTGGGTCTGGAGAATGCCACATGTCCACAGCATCTTCCCCTTTCCTGGCCAAGGCTGACAGTAATTAAGCTTCTTTCCCTGGTAGAGGAACCATTTGCATAAGAATAAGAGGTTCTTCCCCCAGGCATCCTTTTTTCTTCACCCCATCAGCAGTTAACTTTTTTTTTTTTTTTTTTTTTTTGAGACGGAGTCTCGCTCTGTGGCCCAGGCTGGAGTGCAGTGGCCAGATCTCAGCTCACTGCAAGTTCCACCTCCCGGGTTCACGCCATTCTGCCTCAGCCTCCCGAGTAGCTGGGACTACAGGCGCCCGCCACCTCGCCCGGCTAGTTTTTTTTTTTTTTTGTATTTTTTAGTAGAGACAGGGTTTCACCGTGTTAGCCAGGATGGTCTCCATCTCTTGACCTCGTGATCCGCCCGTCTCGGCCTCCCAAAGTGCTGGGATTACAGGCTTGAGCCACCGCGCCCGGCCATCAGTTAACTTTTAAACCAGATTTTTTTTCTTTTTCATTAGGCTAGGAATGATAAGGATCCCTGTTTATATTCTCTGTAAAGTTTGGTTGTGAAAAATGATCTTGTTGGGACTGGTTTTCTTCTGCCTGTGTAGCTATATATGTGTTGTATACATGATGTCTATAAAAAGAGCTCAAAGGCCTGCCACGGTGGCTCACACCTGTAATCCTGGCACATTGGAAATAAAGTCTAGGGAACTCCAGATCACTGACAGTAGGTGGGATAGAAACATTGGTAAAATCAGATAATTCCTATTTTCTAGGCCCTCCCTGCTTCATGGGTGCAAGCCGCTTTGGCACCCACAGCAGCACCTGACAAGGTTGCTGGGACTCAGGGATGCAAACACAGAAGAGGAAAAGAGAACATTCTTCCCTCTCTCCCTCACATACCTGGGCTATCTGCTAGGAAGAGAAGGGAACCAGGGATTCCTGCTCTCCTTCTTTTAGATGGGTAGCCATTCATCTTCAGTCTATACCTCTTTCAAATGCATCTGAACCCCTGAGACTCCTTTAAAAAGCTCCATCTTGGCCGGGCTCTACTAAAAAATACAAAAAACTAGCCGGGTGAGGTGGCGGGGGCCTGTAGTCCCAGCTACTCGGGAGGCTGAGGCAGGAGAATGGAGTAAACCCGGGGGGCGGAGCTTGCAGTGAGCTGAGATCCGGCCACGGCACTCCAACCTGGGCGGCAGAGCGAGACTCCGCCTCAAAAAAAAAAAAAAAAAAAAAGCTCCATCTTTTTTCCTCTCTCCTCCTCTGTCCTCTTTTCACCGGGAGGTGTCCGGTATGCATCTACGTCATACCGGACACTCCCATCAGATGCATCCTCCAAACTGGAAAGGTTAATTTCCCAAACCTTAACCTGGTTGGTTTAGGATTGGGCTCAGGGGGAGGGAACGCAGAAGCCCAACATGCTGGCAAAAGCGTCAAGTTTACTACCAGTAGGGCTTGTGGCCTCCCTCTCCCCATGCACCTGGTAAAAGGCCTTGGGATTTTTGAGCTGCCCTTACCCCTCCCCTTGTTTCATTTTAAGACATGTTTTCTAATAACCCAATTTATCTCTTCTTGCCTTGGAGCCATCAAATTCCAAACAGTCACGCAACCAGAGCTTCTGATGATGGCCTCTTCTGCCGGGAACACTTAAATAGGCGTCTGAGGGAGTTCTAACTGCTGTTTCCCCAAACAGCGCCCCCCATCAGCAGGAAGCAGTTAAGATCAGTCATTGTCTTTATCTTTATCCTAATGGCAGTTAAATGGACTTCTTTAGAGCACAGACCCTTAAACATTTGCTAAATGGAAGCTCCCTCCCACTCATTCTGGAGTGTCATCTCCAGAGGCTGCTCAGCTTCTTTCTAGGAGGTACAGATACTCTTCTGGGCAGGCAGGTGTTCCCTGGTCCCCATTCCTCACCCCAGCCCAAGAAAGGGGACCAGGGAACACCCACCCCTTCTCAGAGCACAGGTAGCTCCTCCCTGGCAATGTACAGCCAAGTGTAAAGGAGTCCCTAGAGAAACTCCAGCCGGCCTGGGCCTTGGGAGAAGTGCGCACTGGGGTGGAGCCTCGGGAAGTTTGCACCATTTGCAGGGGGGAAGAGCCTGGCCCCTCCTCTTCCTGAGTGGAACCTGGGATTCAATCTGCGAGCCAGGAAGCACACTTGCAGGACTCTGGCTTTGCAGAGAGTGCCCATTTCCCTTTTTTTCCTTTTTGCCCAATAAATATCATTATTCTCACTCTTCAAAGTGTCTGCGAGCCTAATATTTCATAGCCATGTGACAAGGACCCAGTTCTTTGCTGAACCAAGAAGAAAGTCGTACGACACTGGGATTACAGGTGTGACCCACAGCACCCAGCTGATCTGCAGATAAATCTTTTCAAAAGCAAAATGAGCCTCTTGCCTGCCTTACAGCCCTTACAACAATAAGTGTTTTTTTAGGGTCTGGGAAGTATGTCTTGGTTTTTTATTTTATTTTATTTTATTTTACTTTATTTTACTTTACTTTTATTTTATTTTTATTTTATTTTATTTTATTATTTTATTTTATTCTATTTTATTTTATTTTATTTTATTTTATTTCACAAATGGCATCTCACTATGCCAGGCTGGTCTTGAACTCCTGAGCTCAAGAGATCCTCCCACCTGCACTGTCTCTTTGACATTAAGTAAGATAGTGCCCCTATCTTCCTGTCACCTTGATAGTTTAGCCTAAGGCTCTTTGTTCTTAGTTACTACCTGTTTGTGTTAGGAGTGAGTTTTGGTTTTCTTTCAAATAACAGCAGTTAACTAACACAGATGGCCACTGCCAATAACCAAGTGAACCTAGGATGAACCTTGAGTATATAACAAATGATACTACCAAGTCCTCCTCTGTAAGGACAAGTTATTGTTTATCTTGAGAACATATATATAAAGGATTGTATGTACTTGGATATATAGAAGAGTGAGATTTCTTTCTGTCTCTGCAATCTCCTTAATGGATAGCTTGTGTTGTACATCTCAGTCTGGTTTAATCCCTACTCAATAATAAAACTCTTCTTTTCTGTACATTTATGAAGAGAATTGTCTGGGTTGAGAGGAGGTTTTATTGCTAGCTTTTTCCCCAACAGGTGTTTATGCCTTACTCAACTATTAAAGGCTATTACAGAAATGTACCCCCTCTGAGACTGAGCAGTGTTGCTTTTTTGACCGATCCTCATCTTCTCTACTAGGCAGGGACTGAGCTGGTGTCGTATGTGCCTAGCTCCCTTCTCATACTGGTGACCCAGCACCTCCGTCTCCTACCTGTAGTGTACCAGCTTCAGTGAATGGGAGAGGTTCAGAAGGAGATCAAACTGGGTTAAGTTTAGAGCTGAGGAAGAACACTAGAGTCCCTTCTCACATAGAGGTCAGGTTCTAAATTCAGGGTTTTGGACAAAAGAAAAACTCAAAATTACCCTCGATTGTTTTTTCATTTGAACACCACTTGAAGTCATTAGCATTTAGGGCCCTGTCATATAAAAAATAGCAATCTTTAAACAATAGAATCACACTTTTCACAGCCTGATGCTCCTCTCCAAAGGTCTCAGTTCACATCTTACTTCAGGGTACAGGTCCAGGGAGCAAAACAACAAGCAGCGCTCTCGCTCGTATGCCCACACTTGTACAAGTAAATTCACAGGAATTAAATATGAATGTGATGTTACTTCGTTGTTGTCAAATGATACCTGCCAACAGAAGATACCAGAAGACTTACTATGAGGCTTCTTACTTGCATAAGCTCCTCCCAAGGACAAATTAGGTATCTGTAATTTTATATCATTGAAAAGGATAATTTTAAAGAGAGATGCTCCCCTCTTACCACCCCCTTCCCCCCCCCACCAAGTTGTTTAAGTTCAAAACTGTTATGTGTTGAATTGTCCACCACTAAAAATATGTTGAAGTCCTTGGCTGCGTGGAGTGGCTCATGCCTGTAATCCCAGCACTTTGGGAGGCAGAGTCTTTAATCCATCTTGAGTTGATTTTTATATAGGGTGAGAGATAGGGATCCAGTTTCATTCTTCTTCGTGTAGCTATCCAGCTTTCCCAGCACCATTTACTGAATTAGGGTGTCCTTTCCCCAATGTATGTTTTTGTATGCATTGTCAAAGATCAATTGGTTGTATTTGGCTTTATTTCTGGGATGTCTATTCTGTTTGATTGGTCTGCATATCTACTTTATCTAGTACTGTGCTATTTTGGTTACTGTAGTCTTACAGTATAAGTTGAAGTCAGGTAATGTGATGCCTCCAGATTTGTTCTTTTTGCCTAGGGTTGTTTTGGCTATTTGGGCTCTTTTTTGATTCCATATGAATTTTAGGATTGTTTTTTCTAATTCTGTGAAAACTGATGTTGGTTTTTTGATAGAAGTTACATTGAATGTATAGATTGCTTTGGGCAGAATGGTCTTTTTCATGATATTGATTCTTCTAATCCATGAGTGTGGGATGTATTTCCATTTGTGTCATCTATTATTTCTTTCAGGAATATTTTGTAGTTCTTGTAGCGATCTTTCACCTCCTTGGTTAAGTATATTCCTATTTTATTGTTACTTTTTTGCAGCTGTTATAAATTTTAATTATTTATAAGTTATAATTATTATAATTATTTATTTGATTCTCAGCTTGGTCCTTGTTGGTGTATAGCAGTGCTACTGATTTGTATACATTGATTTTGTAACCTGAGACTTTATTGAATCAATTTCTTAAATCTAAAAGTCTTCTGGAGGAGTCATTAGAGTTTTCTATATCATTGGCAAACAGGGATAGTTTGGCTTTCTCTTTCCCAGTTTGGATGCCCTTTATTTCTTTGTCTTGCCTGATTGCTCTGGCTAGGACTTTCAGTACTATGTTAAATAGAAGTGGTGAAAGTGAGCATTCTTGTCTTGTTCTAGGTCTTAGAGGGGATGTTTTCAACTTTTCCTCATTCAGTATAATGTTGGCTCTGGATTTTTCATCTATGGCTTTTATATTTTTTAAATTTATTTAATTACTTATTATTTATTTTTGTAGAGACAGGGTCTCACTTTGTTGCCCAGACTGGTCTGGAACTCCTGGCTTCAAGTAATCCTTCTGCCTTGGCCTCCCAAAGTGCTGGAATTACAAGCATGAGCCACTGTGCCCAGGCTTTCATTATTTTTGAGGTAGGTTCCTTCTACGCCTAATTTGTTGAGAGTTTGTATTATAAAGTGATACTGGATTTGATCTAATGCTTTTCTGTGTCTGTTGAGATGATCATATTGTTTTTTGTTTTTAATTCTGTTTATGTGGTGCATTACATTTATTGACTTCCATATGTTGAACAATCTCTGCATCCCTGGGATGAAACCCCTTGATCATGGTTAATTACCTCTTTGATGTGTTGTTGGATTTGGTTTGCTGGTATGTTGTTGAGGTGCCAAGGAGTTTAAAATTTTCCATAGCATGCTTTCAAATCTTGTTGCCTCAGAGTCTGCAGGCATTCCCTCACTGATCAGTGACTTCTGAAGGCCCAAATTCATGTCTGCACATCAATTCCTTAACAAGGTCTCAATATGAAATAACTCCAGTTCCAGGACTGCAAAGTACAGCCAACACTGAACAGGTTCCTACATTCAGAGATCTGATTCTCCAGCCACAAACCTGTGTGCAAAAATATTGCATCTCTTTCTTTTCTTTTTTTTTCATAGAGTCTCACTCTGTCGCCAGGCTAGAGTGCAGTGGTGTGATCTCGGCTTACTGCAACCTCTGCCTCCCGAGTTCAAGTGATTCTCCTGCCTTAGCCTCCCTAGTAGCTGGGACTACAGTCACGTGCCACCACACCCAGCTAATTTTTGTATTAGTTTCACCATGTTGGCCAGGATGGACATTTCTTTATTTTCTATAAATCGCCTTAATATTGATTCTGAGTCTCCTTGCTAAATAGGGAGGAAATTTCAGTTCTGGCATTTTTTTAAACTTTTTGAGACAGAGTTTCACTCTGTTGCCCAGGTTGGAGTACAGTAGCGTGATCTTGGCTCACTGCGAGCTCTGCCTCCTGGGTTCAAGTAATTCTAATGCCTCAGCCTCCTGAGTGGCTGGGATTATAGGTGCACACCACCACACCTGGCTAATTTTTATATTTTTAATAGAGATGGGGTTTTGCCATGTTGGCCAGGCTAGACTCAAACTCCTGACCTCAGGTGATCCTCCCACCTCAGCCTCCCAAAGTGCTGGGATTACAGACATGAGCCACCACGCCCAGCCCTCAGTTCTGGAATCCTTGGGGATTCCTGCCCTACCCCATCCCTAGAGTTATATATTGGTTCTGAGGGCTCAGACAACACATTTCCAAGAAGTGAGTGAAGGGAAAGGTTGCCTATTATCACTGACCATCCGGTCACATAGCTTGCGCTGATCCTTTACATGGCTCCCTCAGGTCCAAAAGCTCTCTTCTGCTTCTCAACCAACCACACTGTGGGCAAAGGCAAGTTTTGTAGGACTGGAAACCCTGTTTCTCAAGCCTTCTCTTTCTAGATACACCTGTAATAATTCTTCTCCAAAGCACTGCAAAGGAGCAGGACCTGGAATCCCAAACTCTAGGGTAATGTCCAATACGTTCCTTCACTGAGCAGACAATCCCAAAGGAAGCATTAAATTAGTACATGTGGCTGGATGTTTTGAGAAATTAATTTTTTTAGAGCTTGATGACAGAATGGACATACCAAATGAGGGAAGCATCAAAGTTGACTCCAATCTTTCCGTTCTAAATAGGAAGTCCTCCAACTTTCTGATCATCTCCAAGAACTCTAAGCCTATTATTTTATGCATAACAAAAAAACATCAAAAATGTGTATTTGGGATCATTTCCCCTGAATAGTGAGAAGTTGAATGTATTTTTGTTTAAACGTAAAACTGGAATTCTCCATAATTTTACAGCTGAAAACTGAGCCATATATATGGTCACTAGGTGGAGCTAAAAACCAGATCATCCAAACTCCCATTGCTTTGGTAACCAAGAAAGTGGGTCAGTGAGTCAGGTTCTTCTATTACACATGGTGTGTGCCTATTCCAAATGTTGGGCTTGGCCCGCTTCACCAAACTCTTAATAACAGAGGTCAACCTAACCTACCACATGATTAAACAACAGTGACTAGCAGGATACCTCTGCCTATCCAGCTTTTATTTAAGTTACTTTACTGGAAAATACTAAAGATTAAAAGGAAAACAACTGCTTTCGGAACACTACTGTCAAGGCACAAAGGTTTTCAGAGATAATAACTCTGCTTCTGTGTGCAATAAAAATTTAATTAAAAAAATTAAAAAATTAACTCTACTGTTTGAATTATGTGGCACACCATCTTTTCACTTGACAATAATACAATTTTATGTGTGTATTGTGCCTTACATATATATACATACACACACATACATATATATATTTTGAGACCAAGTCTCGCTCTCTCACCCAGGCTGGAGTGCAGTGGCATGATCTCTGCTCACTGCAACCTCTGCCTCCTAGAGGTTCAAGCGATTTTCATGCCTCAGCCTCCCTAATAGCGGGGACTACAGGCACCCACCACCACGCCCGGCTAATTTTTGTGTTTCTAGTAGAGACAGGGATTCACCATGTTATCCAGGCTGGTCTCGAACTCCTGACCTCAAGTGATCTGCCCACCTCGACCTCCCAAAGCACTGGGATTACAGGCATGAGCCCCCATGCCTGGCCTAATCCTCACAGTTGTATGAGGTAGACATTACTATCGTCTCCATTTTATAGACAAGGAAACCAGCTCAGCGATAGGTTCAATAACTTGCCCCAAACCTCCCAACCAGTAAGCCAAAGAACCAGGCTGCAAGAGGGTGTGCAATGCTGGAACTTGCCAGCAGAGGCAGGAAACCTTTGTTCTAATCCAAGCTGGGATATAAGTGTGTTAGACCTTAAAAGGGAAGAGAAAAAATCACCCTTCAAGGCTTGAGTTTTCGTATATTTCATTTGAAAAATGAATAGATAGTCCCTATGGTGGTACACTTTAAACGCAAATGCACTCAGTCACCTGGAGATTGCATTGAAATGCAGATTCTAATTAAATAGGTCTGGTGTGAACCCGAGATACTGCATATCTAACAAGCTCTGGGGCCATGACGATGCTGTTGTTTGGAGGACCACACCAAGTACCCTTCCTTTTATGGGAGGCTAATAACTAACTTCTGCAAAGGGAAAATATCTCCCAAAACTAAGAAATGGGCAAACCATATATCTGCATTGATGTCTGCAATTTGAGATATTCACTGATTATTGTCTATTTGAAAGCAGAGCTTTGCTGCTTGATACAGATCTGTATTTGACATCATTCTATGCTTCTAAATTAATTGAAGTCTATTAGATCCTTTGGGAGAATGAAGCTTTGTTATTCCAGTCATCAGCCACCAATATATCCTTATCATCTGTGTTTTAGGTCAGTTGTTTTTTATACTTGATTGATAGCACACTTGGCATCAGGCAGAATCACCCCAGATTTCCTATGTAGAATCTGATGTGAAGCTGATGCTTTAAGTCTTTGCAACATGAAACCATCATTTTTGCTTAATTACAGGCATCCTGTTTCCCAGGCAAATAACCTCTCTCTATACTGGATCACTCTTACTTCTTTGCAGATATCACTTGCTTGCTAGGGAGTTATTAAGTAAATGATAGCATGTGCTGAATATCAATTTGTTTGAGAAATTTG